TTGAAGAAACTATTCGGTTATTTAGAGAAATAAATAATTAGTTTTAATGAAAGTCAACTATAACAATTAGTTTTTCAATTTTAATCCGATTTTAATCTCTACCGAACACGTCCTTAGTTCCAAAAAAATGAAAAAAAAACTGACTCCTAATAAAATAATTGAAGCTTCTAAGAGTAAACCAAATAATTAGGAAACAATGTTATTTATCAGTAGAGTAGCTTTACTTAGGGCTTAATTTCTTGCCCTCAAAAAAAGTCTACAATTTCTCAGAATTTATTTGCAGGTCCCTAAAATTCAATCACCATAGCATTTTAAAAAATAATGTATTTTTGAATTGTAATTTTTGGTAGAATGTGTGCTTAAAAAAAAAAAAGAATTTTTTATTTGTGTAATATTATTTTTTTTAGAAAATGTGTAATTGATAAGAAGAGATAAAAATGTATTAAAATTTTAATGGGGCCAAACAATAGCTAATAAATTGACGATTGTAGCCAATTGAGTAATTCTTATGAATTTGAAAGGTGGCGAGTGACTAAGTGATTAAAAGTCGAATGTGATTTTAACTTCCGGATTGTCCTACCCCATAAAGATAAAAAATACATAAGGATTTTGATTATTCATCTTAACAATATTCACCTTGTCGAGAATGAACCTCGATTCTTAATATGTAGTTGGTTGCAATATTGATGATTTGCACGAGAATAAGCCCATGTTTATGTAGATCAAAAGTTAAAGCCCATGTTTGTTTGCCATTTATTTCTTATTTCTAGAATAAATTTTACCGTTGCAGTCTGGAGGAGCAACATTTTTTGACCAAAATGTGTCATGGTGGGTCTCAGCCAGTTGAAAATAATGGTCAAAATTTTCATGTTTTGCCAAAAATAATGGCAAACAAACAGGGGCAAAAATTTAAAATCAAAGTAAATGATCAATTTTAATCCGACATCTCATTCGATAACAACTTTTAAACCACACATTTCATCAACTTTTATTAAGTAAATCCAAAATGGAGACCATAACAAAGAAGAAATAAAAAATAGAACTTAAGTTCCTTTTATTCTCTTGTTCAATTGCGTTCAATTCTGAACAAGAACCGTTCATTTCTCGACTTCGATCAATCACTGTAGAGAAGAAGTAGGCAAGACGGGGGACTATATCAGCGCCTACAGATAACTCCTAATTCATGAAGTCAACAATTTTCTTCATCAACGCGAAAGCATTTTCACACGTTGGATTTAACAAATGAAAAACGTGACCTTCTTCTTCAAAATCTAAAATTTCAATTTCACCCTTCCAATTGCTCTTCTTCACTGTATCGTAGTAATGCCACCCCATTCCTCTCAAACCATCCTTCCCTGAAGTGCAAAC